ACGCACGTGCGATCGTCGTACACACATACACACACACACACAAGGAGCTGAGACGTGTGCCATTTCGAATAGCACTACTTGTGCAATGACATCACGGCCCCTGTCCACTAATGCTGTTTCCGATCCCGGCGCAACTGCAATCTACCAGAAAGTCAAGTCCATGCTGCTGGAATTTGCCTCTGGTCAGTCATCGACCTCTTCTTCTTGTATCACTTTTCAGAAAATTGAAAAGTTTATCGACTCGGCCACCAGCATCGGAACCCAAATTCAGGGCTTTGTGGGCGAACTGAATGACGTGGGCCGATTTGCGAGGATTAAGACCATTGGCTCTCCAACTTGCTTGACACCGGATTACCATTTCATCTTCTTTCCGGAGCGTGTGGAACAGTTCCAGCGTCGACGGCGCATGCTGCTGAAGCAATTGTTGGTCTCCGAGAGACGCGGCCTACGAATACGAACGGATCTGCGAGATTCCAGTACCCAGGCCTCATTGGATGGAAAAGGCGATACTCCAACCACTCCCACCGCAGTCCAGCTTCCTAATGGCGACCCTAGACGGGCTCTCTCTTCGGACATGCAGGCTCAGTTCAGTTCTCTGGATTTACCCATCGATCGACTTACTCAAATAATCGCAGTGGAGCAGGTACTTGTACAACTGTCAGAAACACGGCTTCGATTTGAAAAATTGTGGAGTGGATTTGTCAAGCGTCTCAAAAGTTTGCAAACTGTACACCAGTTTGAGCTTCGTTTTAATCGGGTACGTTCTCTTGCGCCTTATAAGTGTCCTTTGATCTGTTTTCATATTCAAGTGCTGAAATACTTTGTTCATCAAAGCCTTCATATATTCTTTTACACCTATACTTCCATAGTTCAGAGTTTGAAGGATATTTTTTCAGCTTGGGCTTTCATCCTCCCTATGACCATCACCCATAATATATCAGAAAGCTAGCCCTTTGCATGATTTATGCTTCTTGCTCCCCGATGTTATCTCATTTATGCTGAACAGTAAAATTAAATTTTCAATTTACGGATTTAAATCCTAATCTTCGTGCTAGATACCTTATGTAAAATGTTTTAATCAGGAATGTGGCTGTGTTATATTCTGAGGATTATGCTGCAGGACAATTACCATTACTTAGTAGGAGGGTTTGGCAGATTTTAATAATTCAGTTGACCCAATTGTGAAAAATTGGCGCCCTCAGTGGCATTCGAACCCACACAGCAGGTGGGAATTTTGTACAGCCAACGCTCTACCATCGGGCTACGAAAGCCAACCTTCTCCCCAATAAGTAAGTGAGCTTAGTAGTCATTCTGGTAGATTCTAGATGATTGCTTAGGAAATTCTGCCTGGGCAGTCAGCTTACTGTATCCGTATTCGTAGATTCCATACGAGCAGTAGGTTGGGCGGGGAAATCAACCCAAGTGTAATTAAACTCAAAGCTTCGGCGTGCCTTCGTAGCTCAATGGTAGGGCGTTGGCTTTACAAAAGCTCTCCCTGCTGTGTGCGTTCGCATCCTACTGAGGTCGCGATTTTTTAATAATTAGGCCAACTGAATTAACATTACAACCATACTTGAGTTGTATTTTCTGATTGAAAGCACATTTCACAATTTTGGTCAACATTTTGTGAGATAGCACATCTACCGTTTAGGTAAATTAAGTATGTATGTGGCTTTTATGGCAACTCGGAGGTGTGGAATTAACGATGAGTGACACTTTACTGATGGTCCTCATGCCTAATCTCATCATCTCGTGGGCTAGAGAGTCTTGCAAACCACTGTCACACGGACGAGGCTAATCTCTCGTGGGATCCCTCCTGATGACAGTTCAGTGCATTCCTCATTATAGTTATTTCTAACGCATTCCGCTCATATCGCGCTAAGATTTGCTGTTTGGAAAACTAACTGATGACCGGACTCAGTCGTGTGCATCTGAAGTCAGATTACATCGGTTCGTTCACAATGCGCCCTATATGTCACCCCTCGCTTTTGCGACCCTAGACCCTGTAGAAAATGCGTGATGCGCATCACAATTATTATTTTAGCGATCGCATCTCTTTATACTCCTTACTTTGTCTTATCATCTGAACGTGGTGAGTATGAGGGAGGTACATCGCAGGTCTGTTCCTCTTTAAAAATGTTCACACAATTCCCCTCTACGTCCATCTCGTTGGGAAACAGAAGATGTCTTCGCTTGCGCTCTAAAACCATGTGTTAAGGATGAGGTTGAACCACGTAGTTTATCGGGCATACGTCACAAAGCTTCGTTGCTTTGCACTCTGCGTTCACTGGTCTTTTGTGTTATCCCCTCTGCTTAAGATATTTTTACATAATTCTGTTCCATAACTTCATGGAGCCTAGTTTTTACTTGGGCCATCACCTAGCTATACTTGCGGAGCCTCGAGTACCACCTCAGAAAGACCTTTCGGATTAATAATCTGCTCTGTCGCCACGTCATTCTCCCCACCATCTGTATGCCTTCATAGGAAGTTGAACGAAATACAGTTCGGTAAAAAAATATTTTCAGGAATTTTTGCGCAAGAACCAAGTCTGCACACAGCTGACAGTTCGAAAGTAGCGAACGAGGAAGTCCACCGTGTGCCCCATGGTAGGATAAGCGCAGGGACGGTGACTTACGTTGCATCTACTTCTCCAGCCCATCAGGCACTGATTTCAAAAAGATCGGAAGCGGGCCTGCGTGCAGAGGCTCAACTGCTCGTCTGTCCGTGCCACCCGCGACCTCACCCCTACAGTATGTCCCAGGTCTTCACGAGGGAACGGTCCGTACCTTACACAAGTGTGTAAGTGCGACCACCGTAATCGGTTATGTCCACCATTTGCTCGAGAACAGGGACGGCGACTGTGGCCAGGTATAGTGAAAGTAGACGAGCCGACATCTACGCCACTCTAAACCTTCATCCGCTTTAACCGGTGACAAGACAAAGTCGAAATGACCGAGCAAGAATCAGGCGTAAGCCGCTTTCTCCAGATGCAGCCAGAAACACCGCCTCACTTAATCTTTAGTGACAGTAGACTTTGCGCAGGTACTTCTGCACTGTCTATCCTCACCCACCTATAGTAGGCGTCTAGCCTGACTCTAAGAAGCCAGGGCTCGTACTGTTATTACCACTACTGCCAATAGTAGCGAATATTCGAGTCCCAGGAAGCAGTTCAGAAGACAAAGAT